CTCCTGTGGGACACTCATTTGGGACACTCTTGTGGGACACTCTTGTGGGACACTCTTGTGGGACACTCTTGTAGGACACTCTTGCGGGACACTCTTGTAGGGCACTCTTGTGGGACACTCTTGTGGGAAACTCTTGTACAAGCGCAGGGTTTAAGTCACATCAGTCGGTGAAAAGTCACATCACCCCATGGCACACCGCATTGGAAGGAAGTCACATCAGGTGGAAAGAAGTCACATCAAAACATGCAAACCCCAATGGCACAGCGTCGCCAAAGCAAGTCTTCAGAAAGAAGAAAGATGTCCAAAACCTTGCCCAAACTGTAGAATTTGCTATTACTGAGTACGGTTTTTCAGGTTTTTGCAATGTAAATCCCATTGTCACATCCATCACAGGTATGTTAGGTATGTTTGTAAACACCAGAGATCACCATGGCCAACCCACTGCAGGCAGCGCTCCCAACATCATTTTTTCATTTCTTCTTGGTCTGAGGATGCTTTGCATACCTCTTGGCACGGTTCTGCTTCCAAGCTTCAATGAACTTGGCCCGCCCTTGCTTGCTTGCCAGCATGTTTGTCTGATTCACTCGCATTCCGATCAATTGGGACAGGGTTCTAGATTTTGAGACTTCCCTCTTGAGCTCAGACAAATAAAACTGGATCACTGGTCGAATCTCCTGTCTCTGTTCACGACGCCAATGCGCCTCCAGGAATTTCTGGGCATCATCAGGCGACTCCAAGTCAAAGTCAGACTGGGACTCTTCTGACTGAACATCACCAACGTGCTCAGGTTTCTCAGGCCCCTTGCTAGAAGAAGCAGGCACCTTTGCACCTTCTCGCTGGTCTGCCAATTTGTTGAGCGTTGGCTTCTTAGGCTCTGGTTCCTGTGCTGTGGAATCTTGCTTCCTTTTCCGCATTTCTGACAGCAGGTCGCCCATGAAGGCATATCGCTTTTCTTTCTCCTCCTCCGGCACTTTTGCCAGCGCTGCATCCACATCAAACACTGGACCCTGCTGCTTTTTGTAGCCAAAAGACTTGCTGCCTTTGGCGACAGCAGCAGCTTCTTTTGAGTAGGCGCTGTTTGGTTGGCCACAGTGGCCGCAAAAAGGCAAATGTGTTGGTGTCAACTTCTGGCACTTGCTGCAGCATTCTGACTTGTTGGGGACAGTGTACGGCAAAGGTAAAGCTACTTGACCTTCAGGCGTCGACAAGGCCACCTCGGCTTTCTTGAGGTTGCACTTCATCAGAGCAGCACGCTCTACTAAGAGCTTGTTGCGGTTCAGCTTGGAGTCTGTTTTCATGCCTACTTCCTCATAGCCTTCAAGAATGTTCTTCTTGGTGTATGCGTGGGTCCATACCTGAGGCAGAGCTTTGTTTAGTTAGCAAGGCGAGAAAAAGAGAGCGCGACCTAGGAAAAGGATGTTCAAAAAAACCACTTGCATCTTTGAAAGTCCCAAGGCACGTCGCGAGCAGCCAGAAGAGCCCCCAAGCTAGTCATATCTGCTCCAGATGCGATGATCTGGTGGAACCTCTTCTCAGCCTCGAGATTGGGGCGCTGATCCAAGCTGCAGACAGCAGGAGTCATATTCTTTCTGAAGAAAAAAAGTCTCAGGCCGAAGGTGTCTGCAATGAGAGATGCCTCAGGTGATATGTGAATCTGAGCTCCACCACCTGAGTCCATCAAGACAGCTACAGAGCTGCCAGCTGCAATTCGCAGTTCCTCCCTCACAAACTTACCAAACAGACCCAGGACCTGTGTAAACAATGCGGTTGTGCAAGAGCCATTCTCTGTGGCCATCACTGTAGCAGACTCCCAGACCTGCTTCCAGCTTTTCATTTCTGCAGCGCCTTTCACAAAGACGAAGGGTGGTGCACAATCACCCTTTAGAGAGCAGAAGGGCAGCAATGTGATGTGTCCAAAGCTCTTGTCCTTTGTCTCCCTTGTCGCCTTGACACCAGAGATTGTCAACGCCTTCGCCATTTTGATCGATGTGTCTTGGCCCGACAAGCCCTTTTCATCGCACGTCCAAATCAATTCCTCCGAGCCTGCAAGCAAGCACCTGGTGTCTGGACACATGAGCTTGCAGTCTATCAGAAATTGCTCCAGGGCATCAAAATGCTGGTTGATGGTAGCTGGCGAAATGGCTGCTGCTTCTTCTCCGCTCTTGCTCCAAACCTTTGCGTTGATGATCTTCACCTTATCTGGGTACGTCTGCTTCACCCACGCACGAAAGTCTTTGTAGACCCCATCTAATGTTGGTTGATAATCTGCAATCTGTTTCCATGGCAGGTCCCTGTCACGAGCCTCCTCTAGTGTGACCACTTTCTTGTTGAGAAGCACCATCTTGAACATGGCTTGTTTCACCTCATGGGGGAACATTGACTTGTTGCTCCCAGACATGGCCAGGATGTGTCTCAATACATCTTGCTTCTGAGCAATGGTCAGAAGGCCTGACCCATGCCTGCCAGCCGAAAACTCTTGCGGTGTCCAGCTTGCTTGCCGCTGACACTCTTGCTCTGCCAGCCAGGCCTGCGTCCTGGAGACCTTGAGGCGGTTGATTCGGTAGTCACGAAATTCAGACTCTGCCTGCGAGCAGCTCTTCAATTTTCCAGCGTCCAACAAAGACACAACATCCAAATACATCAGATGCAGTGTTTGAGCTTGCTGCAAGAAAATGAAGACCCTTCGGCCTCTTGCAACTGCTTCTTCAAAAACGACCATCGTTTGTGAAATCCCTGAACTGAAGTTACTCTGCTTGTGAACTGTGGCTCGGGACCTGTCAAATCAGGCAAGCGGGCTGACTGCACTTCCTTTTCAGTGGAAGATGGGCTGTTGCTTGGCAGCTCTTTGCTCTTCTTTTGCGGAGTTGAAAAGGAGCAGCCCTGAGACCTAGACCATTCTTCGTGTTGTTTTTGCCAATCCTGTCTCTTTTTGACAGTCATGTCCTTCCATGTGCTCAAAGCTTGTCGGCCAGGCATCGTGCTAAAATCAAAATTGACACCGACAGTGGCAGCAACTTTCTGGAAAAAAGTGCACCAGCTGACACCAGGTGGCTTCTGCAGAACCGTGGCCACAGCATTGTCTCTAGCGACGGCTTCATTCTTTGAACTCAATGACACTTCATTCTCGCCCTCCTGTTGACAAGCGGCAATCTCAGCCTGCTCGTCTTGGAGCACATCAGCCGAGCTACCATGTTCTCTTGAAGGTGCTGGAGGCTCAAACAAATCTCCTGCGACAGCATCTGAGCTGACTAGGTGATCTTTGGCAAGGACTGACTCCGGCAGATCTGCGCTTGGCTGCTGAGGATCCTTTTTTGCTTGCTGCGTCAGGTCTTCCCAAGCGTCTTCTTGACACTGCCAGCAAGAAAAACAAATGCCAGGGACAGGTGCTTTGTTCTCGGCGCTGAGTGTAGCGCTGCATGCCAAGCAAGCCTCTGCTCTGCCACACGGGGTCTTGTTGACATACCTTACTGCTGCTGAGGCGCATGTTTTCCCACAACATCAACACAAGCCAAACGAAACAGCATGCCAACATCAGTGCGAGGAACACTCGGGCTCTGAAGCAAAGCTTGCACCAACCAGGCAGAGCAGAACGGTTGAGCTGAGTCAACTCCATCTTGCATTCTGCGCAGCCAGGAGGCTTCACATGAGATTCCGCTTGCGCAGCGAGAGCCTCCAGCATATGCACCTCCGGGTCCGCTGAAGGAGGAGAATGTGGAGGTGGAAGAGGTGGATCTGCAGAACCTTACAAGGTTGAAAGGAAATGGAGAAACTTCACTGAAAGGAAGTGGCCACTAGGCGAGGTCCAGGCGAGGTCCAAACATGAATCAAAAGTGCTCTAGAAGACATATGCCCCATGTGGCTGTAAAAACATAGGTCTTTTAATCTATAGAGAAACATGTTCGAGACAGGTGGCTCGCTGACTTGGTTGCTGCACCAGCACATGCTCTGGCCAGCAAAGCACGCAACTCCAGCTCCAAGCTGTTGGCTGCGAATGTGATGCCTCTCTCTTGCAAGGCTTCCAGCAAACAATCCAGCGACAACCTGGCAACCTGCGAAGATGAGTATGACTTGGAAGCAACCGTGGTCTTCGTAAGGTGTACTGTCTCAGAGGCTTTGGCAATCTTTTGCGCTCTCTGCTTCTCAACAGGAGACAATTGGGATGCATCAAAAAGGGCCCTGGCTAGCTTGGCACGAAGCTCTAAGTCCAGGTCACCAGAGTTCACAGCGATCTTTTGCTCATGCAATTGCTCATGGAGGTCAAGAAGGTTCAAGCGCACTATCTGTGAAGCATTTAGCTTTTTGGGCGGCATGAGGCCTTTGAAAAACAAAAGCCTGCGGAGAGCATTGCTCTATTTACATTCCCGAGTCAGAAAAGAGACCACATATACAAAGCAGCCGGGAGAATACCAAGCAAACCTGACGCCTTCAAACGCTTTCATGTTCACAGCTCACTTGGACATAGCCATGCACTCTCCAAAGCTCTCCTCTGCGGTCCTTTAAGCTCCGATGTTTCAAGTCTAAACGCAGATATGTCTGATCTGCTAGCGTGTTCGGTTTGCACGCCTTCCCCAAACCCCAAAGAAACAGAGGCCACAAATGGACTTAGTCGACATCTTCAATGTCATGCCTGTGGCGGCAGCAAGCAGTGCAAAAACAACGGTCTTGTGCCCCTAGCTTCCTCCGCTTGCGAGAGCTCACTTCTAAGAGCAAGGCCTTCGCACCCACTTGTTCGATGAGCTGCGGGGAGCGAGTGGGTCCAAGCAGCTCTGCTGCTTTCACACAACAAAAACAAGAAGAACCTGTTGGTAGCTTCACATTCTTGAGGTCACGGCGGTTCATCCACTTCACACTGTGCTTGTGGTGCCCGCAAAAGACACACTCAAGGACAGTGTCAGGAACAACCCCCTTCATTCCTTTGACACGTTCCCTCTCGGTAAACTTCAGAGCGTCCAGTTTACGAAAGATGTCTGTGTGTTTCTTCCGCAGCGTGCTGACAAATTCATACAGCGACATGTCCTTAGGGGAAAATGACATCAAGTAGCTTCTAGCAAAGGCCTGCAAGCCCCTTTATCAAAAAATGTACTCAACCAGCGACCATGGAGTAAAAGATTCCAGAAGTAATCCTTCCAGGCACTGTCATCAAAAAACGAAAGCAGAACACTTGTATCATATTCATATGTAACCATATTCAAAATACATATAGATAAGCATATACAAAATATACATATATAGATCTATCAGTGCCACACACTAGGCTACAACACACTCATAACATATCCGGCGGTCTGTGTTTCTATGTGGTCGCTGGTGTTGTTGCAGTGTGGACGCGCGTGCACATGGGAATGCACAAAATGCGCACAACGCTGGCAAGCATACTAGCACCCACAGCGCAGCCACAGCGGACACAAGGCCCTCCCCCAGCCTCAGCGGACACAAGGCCCTCCAGCAAGGCAACTAAGCAAGGAGAGCAACCTCGCAGCCCAAGCCAAAGCCAGGCAGATGCACAGCCTACAGCAGCTCCCTGCCAAGCATCTGGAGCTTCTTCTTCTGCGCAGTCACCTGCAAGTAGCACCTGAGCTCAACAAACTGGCCGGCAGAATTACTTCTCTGGTCTCTGGCGCGCACACACACATACCACAAGCATTCAGAAAGCGCATTGTGCATATCTATCCGCTGGGTATTCATGGGAAACCCTCTTGTACGCGCTGCAAAGGATACAGTAAACACCAGCCTACAGACCTCAAAACCAAAATAAATATAGTATAGGAAAAGAATATATATATATGTATCTATATAATATATATATATATGTATACAATATATACATATATATACACATATGTATATATATATATACAATATATATATGAGTAAAAACTTTATTGTATATCTATATATATATACTATATATGCAAGCAGGTTACATACAGATACGCATCCTCTTTTAAACACGACCCCAAGCAACAAAAAAATCAATCAGAGCAGCCAATTCAGATCAGGCTACAGTCTTCTCCGGGGTACTCTCATTTGGCTCTGCTTGCTTCCTCTTCGCTGGCGTCTTCGCCACACTTGCCATTGGCACCACAGGCTGGGTCACTCTTTGTTCAACCCAAATGGCTGAACACAGCGGCTCAATCACCTATAAGGCCAATTGACCCACCAGAGTGTTCCACTCAACAATACCTTTGCACCATATGAACACCTTCAAGCACCGATGCAACAAAGGTTGTTGAATCTATGAAACAAAGAACCGCATGGGCACAGCGCATTCAACATCTGTTCACAACACAAATATAACAAGAATAAACATCCATAGATAAGTCAATCCCCAAGGGCACACCACTTTGATACGACTTTCCTCCAGTTGATACGACTTAAAGCGAGGCCCCAGTAGGAAACTCTTGTGGGACACTCTTGTGGGACACTGTTGTAGGACACTCTTCTGGGATACTCTTGTGGGACACTCTTGTGGGACACACTCTTGTGGGACACTGTTGCGGGACACTCTTGTGGGACACTCATTTGGGACACTCTTGCGGGACACTGTTGTGGGACACTCTTGTGGGACACTCTTAAGGGACACTCTTGTGAGACACTCTTGCGGGACACTGTTGCGGGACACTCTTGTGGGACACTCATTGTGGGACACTCTAGTAGGAAACTCTTGTGGGACACTCTTGTAGGACACTCTTGTGGGATACTCTTGTGGGACACTCTTGTAGGAAACTCTTGTGGGATACTCTTGTAGGACACTCTTGTGGGCCACTCTTGTAGGACACTCTTGTGGGACACTCCTGTAGGGCACACTCTTCGTACGAGACTTCCTCCAAAAGTCACGCTGCGAGGCTGCAAGACGAGCGTTTCGTACGAGACTTCCTCCAAAAGTCACGCGTCAAGTCTCAAAAACGAGCGTTTCGTACGAGACTTGCTCCAAAATTCACACGTCAAGTCTCCAAAACGAGCGTTTCGTACGAGACTTCCTCCAAAAGTCACATGTCAAGTCCCCAAAACGAGCGTTTCGTACGAGTCCTCACAACTCACAACCTCCCGATTCCCTTGCGCCTGCCACGAATCTTTCCGCGTCCACACGTCTAACGCGCACAAAGTACTGCGCCTGCCACGAAATGTCACCTCCGTCACACATCACAACCTCACGATTCCCTGCGCCTGCCACGAAAATCCCACTTCCACACCTCAAAGCCCGCACAAAGTCCTGCGCCTGCCACGAAAAGTAACAATGTCATCTCATGTGAGCTTCAACAAAATTTGCACCACACCACACGTTTGGAATGATTTCGACCCGTTCTGAGCACACTCCCATCCACCCAAATCGGCATTTCAGCTGAGACTTGTCACGAAAACAGAGCCTCGACGCCACATCCTGAAACGCAAATCCCGATGGCACGGCCACATCCAACACCCCAAAAACACGACTCTCCACACGCTAATCCCAATGGAACTGCGTAGCAAACTGTGGATCTCACAAAATGCTGCCCCTGTGCAGCGAAATGCATCACGCTTCTTGCGCGACATGTCCTTTTCACGCAAATCACAATGGAATAGCGGCGCAAACTGACACGTGACACATCCGTGCCTGGTCACTTGCAAAAGCTTCCCCCAATGGCAGCGCCTTAGCGCTCTACTGCGAACGGTTGCGGACGGTTGCGAACGGTTGCGGACGGTTGCGAACGGTTGCGAACGGTTGCGGACGGTTGCGGACGGTTGCGGACGGTTGCGAACATAGAAGCAACGGGTCGCGAACAAACCTCTACCCCCAAACCCCCAAGAGTTAAACGAGAACCCTTCGCTATGCATTCGGGAAAAAACAAACACGAACAACGCTCGCAGGCAGGCAACGCAAAGCACTAGGAGCCGTTGAACTCGAACTTCTCCTAAGATCACAAGCCGAAAGGTTATTTCATGCAATGGCCTCTTTGTGCCATTGCTTGTGTTGTGCTAACCCGTTTAATCCAGCACTATGTTGGGGAACTACTTGACAAGGTTACTTGGAACCCCAACATGAACCCAACATCAAACCCAAACTGATGTAAATTCCCCAAACTTGCTTTGAATTACTTGGCACCTGTTCCTTGGAGCCCCCACTGGGCCCCATGTTGAGCCCAACTCATGTCCAAAGTGGTTTGGACAAAGGCCCGAAACTCTTGGCACTCACTTGCTATTTACATCTATTTACTTTTGACTATATTACCATATTACTATATATATATATAATTGTTCCCTCGTGTGAGAGTGGGTGGTTGTGATGACCACTAGTCAGTTCGTGCAGCGGGCTCAAAAAAGAAGGAAAAAAGAGAGAGACGGGAGAGGGCCATGTCAAAGCGCTGTTCCAGCGCTGTCTTTGGCAGTTGCAGCAGTTCTTCCGCTGCCGCACTTTGGCCAAAATCTTCCATTGAGTGTCACCACTTTCAGCCAGCGATTCAATATTGAGTATGAGTATCAGTATCATTTTTCGGGGTGGGCGTTGAACAAACACAACTGATCACACAGCAGTTGAGTTCAAGTGGCGTAGGCAAGACATATCGGAATGAAGCGGGCCAGGAATGGCAAGGCTCTGTTCTTTGTTGTTGACTGTTTAGTTTGTCAGTTTGTTTGCAGTTAGTTAGTTTGTTGGTTGGTTTATTTGTCAGCCTTGAGGAGAATGACATAGCAAGCCAATTGGACTCCGACAATTCGGACAATGAGTTTGCCTCAAGTGCCTGCAGCGAATCGGGGTCCAGCACTGACCGCCTTCATGACGCTCAGCAGGGCTTAGTGTGTTTTTTGAATGCAAGGTAATCTTCAATCTGCAAGTGCGCAGTCAGAGTCACATTCAAACCATTCAATGTTTTTCAGACGTCTTCAGGAAGGGCACTGGCACACCTCTTCTTGCAATCCCGAATTGAGGACCTCCTTGCTCGAAAAAAGCCTGTCACCTTGACAGCAAACTACACCTTGTTTCCACGACAGTGGTTTCCCTTGCAACTTGGCAAGGGGAAGCCGCCAAGAAATCTCTTCGCTTCACTGCTAATTTGGTTAGGTTAGTTTGGTTTGTCCTGAGTGCTGGGTGCCCAGGACTGAATCCAGGATCTTTTCTCTAGCGTTTGATTGACCCCCAGCAGCACTACTAAGTCGATTGTTGCACATAGTCATAGAGCCTGGAGCGGTTTAAATCTTTTGACCCCCCTCTACAGTACTCTGCTAGCTACTTGTGCTGACAAATTAAGTATGGGAAAAGTGGACATTAGACTGGACTGTATCATATGAAGTGACAACTACATATAGACGACTTGTTTTGATTTTGTGTTTGTCCATGTCAAGTCAATTGTTCCAGTTGTGCCAGCGGATCAGACTCCCGCTTAAGGTACATGGAGAAAGCTGGGGTGCAAAAAGCGCATTTTGTTGCACCCTCGAAGCGTGGCAGCATTCACCCCTACAACCAACATGATGTTCAAAGCATTAAAAAAGAAGCTGTGACTCAAGCACGCACGATTCGTGATGGGTTGCCTTGCTGCTATCAGAATTAGTAGCTCAGGTTGGGTTTGCAGTTTGGAGTCTGGAATGTGTGAAATGGTGAAAGTCAAGCAGTGTCATTGTGTGACTAACAGGACGTGTTGTGTTGGCCAGGATTTCAGTTTGGGGAGCGTGCGAAGGATCAGGCATTTTGGGCTACTTGATGATACTTGGCAGGGCAAGTCAGCAGTTGAGCAGTTGTGGTGGAAATCGGGATTCGGAGGAATAGAGCACTTGATATGGGACAATTGTTGAGTTAAGAGTTAAGAGTCGAGTCCAGAGACCAAACCAAACCAAAGTCATTGAGTGATGGGAGCCCTCACATGACAGCAACGCAGTCACATTGTCCAGTCAATTGAGGAAATACGTCGAAGAGAACACGGGGATGCAAGTTCACATCACGCACTCGTCGGAGAGCAATGCCAAGTGCAGAGAATGGTGTCTTCATCATTTTGATTGCTGCGTGGCCAAATTAGACGTCCTGTGAGGTTCTGGTGCACTTCTGATAGTCTGGTGTTCTTGGCTGTGTGTGTGTGCGCACAGCTGTGTGCATATGGTCCCTCTTCCCTGTTGCCATGTGAACATGCCCAGACAAGCAAGCAAACAGCAAACTGGAACATTTGAGTCATTTGAGTCATTAGTTCTTTTTGGTTGGCCCAGGGAATCACTTCTATGACAACGTCCAGGACGAGACCTATTGCTGCACATGCAAGGCCAAGCACAGTCTGAGCGTTGAGGACACTTGCTTGGGCTTTGGTTCAGAGTGTGTACCTATCCAACAAACACCGAACATTAACAATAGTAGTGGAGTGGCGCTGATCTATGACATATGTCAGGACTGCACTTGATCACTACTACAGACTGGACTACTATTTGTTTTCTTTTTTGACTTGCAACCGGTTTTGTAATTGCTACAAATGTGGATTTATATGCGGGCCCAATCACTGTGACTATGACTATAGCTAGGCTCGGATATAACTATGACTATGACTCGTGACTGAATACCGATACCGATATCGGATCACCGTCGCAACTCCACTATGTATGGATTTGTTCTTCCCCAAGTTCCCAGTTCTTCTAGGTTCCAATGGTAGCTTTTTGTCATGGTATGCGGCATGTCTCAAAGCCATGACTCTCAGGAGAATGCCAATGCGGACATATGTCTCATGGGCATTCCTTGCCCAATCTTCTCAGTGTTGAACGGAAGGACCAAGCAGCCGGGTTATAACCCCTTCAACGAGTGGCTGTTCAGCACACACCGGGCCCAGGGAGACAGGGACTGTAAGGGCTTGAGACTTTGGGAGTCGGAGTTTGGGCTTGGGGCATTACAACTCGATTCATTCGTGTTTGTTCTTGGTCGCTGAACTCGTGTTTCTGATTGGTTTAACTGTGCATGCTGCTGTCCTGTGTCCTTGTTCAAGTTCAATGACTCTAGACTCTGGTCTAATGACTGTAATGTAGGAAAAACATGAAAGAACAAAGAAGTGAGCAATAAGAAGCAATGACAGACGCTGTAGAATTGTAAGAACCCTACAATATTAGTACTAAGTCTTAGGACTCAGACCAAGACCGAGACCAAGAAAAATAAATAAGAATAGTATAAGATTCCACATTTAAGATTGAAGATATTCTATATATGTATATGATAATCATTCTATACTAAGACGGTGGAGCATCAGGCCGGTGACTGTGACACAGGCCAATTGACCTCGGGTTCAACCATGGCACCGACAAACATCTTCAGGAGGATTGACAAACACCAACGCAAGAGCTGTCAGCTACTGACTATCTGAGGCCAGGCGGGGAAACGGTGAAGGCCTGCCTCCGCAAGGTGAGGCAGTTGAACCCAAGGGCGGTGATAATAGAGGAGGCCACTTGGCACATTCCCGTGCACACTTTGTCCACATGTGTCGTGCTTGCTGCCTACTATCCCCCGATAAATTTGGAAGTGGAGACTGAGACTTCTTGAGCACTTTTTGGCACAGCATCAAACAGGACAGCGAGAAGAAAACAAACCAAGAAAAAATAATACAAAGAGAGTGAGGACGAGTTTTAATTTTCACACACTCCTGAGCAGCTGGGCAGCTCAGGTTTGCGGCCTGCTGAAGAAGTACAGCCCACCAATTGGAGGAAAGTATGAGGCGCGAAAGCAAACAAAAGGTGGAGACTGGAGACTTCCACAAACAGACCAGAGCTTAGTTTTCAGCTCAAGGTCATAGCGTATCATAGTTTTCAGAGCTTAGGGTGTATCAAGGGCGTGCATCATTCCTCGGCCTCAGCCTTTAGTGGCTTTGTGACTTTGTGAATTATGAAGAGAGGTGAGAGGTGACCATGAGCTACCCGAACATAGGCTGAGTCACTGTGCATACAGGGATCACTTGTCACTCGTTTCTTACTGCTCCTGCCACTGCACCATGATAGATAATCGAGAATTGTAGCTGCCCACCATCTACTCAACCCATAGCCCACAGCCTACAAACCAAAGACTGGACCATAGGCTATAGACTCTAAACCTCCTGCTCCAAAAAAAAGTATTGCTGTACGGGGTAGCTCCCAAAACTCCTATAACTCCGTCCATGGCAAGAAAACATGTATATGATTTGATGTATATATTATATATATGTACAAACTGTGGCACATTACTCACATGACTTAGTATTCAGATCTAGACTTAGATCCTGGATCCTAGATTAGATTCAACAGAAAATCGATTCTAGATACAACAACTTTCAAGATGGGAAGCGGCAGTGTAGCCATGAACGGACCAGATGCACATGGTTTGAAGCTTGATGTGATGATGTGTCCTTAAAATGTTGTTTGATCCTGAATCATGTTCAGACTCTGGTCAAGAGCAGCAGCTGAGCAGCAATGCAAACTCTGCTGATGCCAGTTCAGCCAGTTCTTGCTCTTGCTCTGACTCTGACACTACTGATCGAAGTAGTGCGAATGTTGACGAGGAGGGCGAACAGGACGGGCCAAACGAGCTTATTGCATTGAGGCAAAGGTTGAAGCGTCAAGCCCAAACAGCAAAGGCTCGAGCTGCATCCCTGGTGACAAGAACCCGAAAGCGACTGGCAAAGAACGCCATCCTCAAACCTCCTGACCATAAGGCTGAGCAGTTTCGGCCATATGTCCAGCCAGATACAAACCTCAATGATGCTGGACAGTGGACAAGAAAAGCTCGAAGTACACGGCTTCGGCTGCTTGTGTCTTACTTGCGAGCGTGGGCTTCCGTGTTGATCAACATTTTCTCATCGGTGGAGAAGTCGAAGGACCTCAAGGTTCACCATACAATCAACACCATCATCACAGACGACACGAACATGCGCCTGAGCACTGAAACGCCTGATGTTAAGGAGTGGAAGTCCAGCCGCATAGTGTC